TTTGGAAGGTTTCAAGTTGATGTGCAAGTTCGAAGGAATCATTCCTGCTTTGGAGACGAGTCATGCAATCTACTATGCCGTGCAACTTGCCAAGAAGCTCGGCCCCGGTAAGGATATTGTGATTAACATGAGTGGACGTGGTGACAAGGATATGCCCCAAGTGGCCAAAATCATGGGAGTGGAAGTGTAAGAAATTTACTTTAAAAGAGAAGGAATGCTACTTTGGTTTGTACGGTCCGTCTATAATAGCTGGTGACCTTGTCAGATATCAAAAGGATGAGAGGCATCCTTGGAAATCTATCTATCCATCGATCTGGGGTATTGTTCGTTGCTGCTGTAGTGCTGTCATGGCTTCATATTGTTGTTTGTGCAGTTGTAGAGCGCGTTCATAGATTAGGGTATCGTACTTGACATACTCCTGCAGCAACGGCCAGATTTCCGCATCCTTCTGCAGCTCTTGAACTACTTTGGAGGTGGAGTACTTGGACGGGTTGTTCCTCTTTTTTTGGCTGGTATCCTGCGGGTTGTTGCTACTATCTACATCTACTACGTTAGCTCGTTCTTGAGTTATCATTCCAAACTTTTCAAACAAGGGTGTTTGTTCTTGGCGACTGTCAATGACAAACTGCAACAACTGCAAGCTCTCGGGCATGCGTTCCACAATGCCCACGAGGATGGGTTGTTCTTGTAGATTGCGGAGGATTTGTTGTGTGCGTTCCTCTACCGTACTAGTCTTCTTTGTGTAGAACAGTTGTTTTTGTGTGGGTGTCAACAAGTAGGCACTATATCCTTCTCTGAATTTGCCTTGATGCAGTTCTCCCTTGACTCGTTTGTGTATCAATTCTAGAATATCTGGGCAGGAGTAATTTTGATCCTTCTTTTGGTACATGATTCCAGAGACAAACTTGTCGATGGCGTGTCGAAAAAAGGCAAGATAGGTGACAGTATGATGATTGTTGTTGTTGTTGTTGTCCAATGGTACTAACCACTCTTCGACACCCAAGGGGACATGTCCTGCCAAGACATCCAATTTCGTGGCGACCGTGTCGGTGTCCATTTGTTGTGGTGATGATGATTGTTGTGGTGACATTGGAGTATTATTGTCATTATCATGATTGCTGCGAGGCAATGCTTTCATCCAACAGGGTTGTCCCTGTTTGCTGCCAAATCCATTGTGCCAAATACTAGCACTGGTAGTAGTGGATGAAGATAATGACGAAGAATTGTTGAAGGTGTCGAGCCCGGAACATTCCGAGACGATTCCAATTCCTTTGTGGCACGCGACGGCATATCGTAGCAACAATTCCCTCATGGTCATTCCAGCCGTCTTGAATACATGGACAAACACCAACTTGTGGTTGTTGTGGAGAGTACCGGTATTACTAGTATTATTGGAGGAGGAACAAGTCCATATTGGATCGATCATTGAATTCTGCTGCTGTACAGGAGTTTGTTGGTTGGAAGAATCAGGGTGGTATCGTTGCTGTTGCAGGTGAGAGGAGAACAAGAGATTGTTGCTGTGGTGGCTGTTGGGTGAAGCTTGTCTTTTTTCTTGTTGAATTTGGTGGAGCAGGTGAAAACTCAGTGCCATGGAGACTGCAAAAGTGACGATATAGAACAATATCAGGGCGTCACGGATTCGCCTTTTTCCCAATAGACTATTGAATGCTGCTGCTGTTGATACATGATGTAGTAATGGGGCCGTCATGGCATGGCTCTACAGTACTAAGGTACGAGTACGGTTTCACCTCTGTTGGGTCAAGTTAGAAATGTTTTCTTCAAAAAAATGAGAGGCAAGCTAGCAACATGCACCGTTTCTTGAAAAGATACAGTGCTTAAAGATGACGTCACAAAAGGGACTAAATGTCAAGACAGCGGCCAGACCTCGACTCCCCTCATTCATCATCGACCATCGCATCACGATAACCTTGGCGATCTCTTTACTTGCCACTCCAACCAGACTATCTACTAGACCACTGCAGTGTCACTGATCTCTTGTCAGGATGGAGGAATCTTTGGGGACAGGCGCCAACATGAACATGAACGAGGGAGCTCCCAATCAGCAGCAGCAGCAGCAGCAGCAGCAGCAACCACAGCAGACTGGCTATCAGCAATATCCTTCGGTTCCATTGTATCCTGTAACTGCAACAACCGGTACGGCGCCTGTGGCGACCAATGCGGTCCAAACGGCAGCCACTGCATATACGGCTCCAGCCACAACAACTGCGGCAGGTCAACCCTACCCAGGATACTACCCAGCCACCACGGCGACCACCACAGCCAATAATACTGGCCCGACAGCACTACCCATTTGGCCAACAGCAGGAGGAGCTATAGCACCCTATCCAGTGGCGACGGCCACTGCCACCAATCCCTACGCGGCAGCTCAAGCCACCACTGCAGCTGCTGCAGCAGGTACTAGTGTTACCGCCACCAACCCCTACAATGCAGCTCAGCAAACAACAGCAGTCACTCCCTATCCATCTACCACGGCCGCACGACAATCGGCCAAGGCGGCAGCTGCCGCTTACAAGGCACAACAGCAACAACCAGGACAGCGTACGGTCACCACGGGATATGCTCGCAATGCTTCGGCACGATCTCCAGCACAACAATCCAAACATGAAGCTGCACGACAGTACGCTCTGGACGCCAACAACGCAACAACAACAACAACAACAGCTAATAATACCACTGCTGTTCGATCACCACCCACGGCCAGAGCTCCTCCTGCTGCCAATAATACGACGACAGCAACCGCCACAACTGCCACTGCCGCTCATCATCGTCAGTATGATCCGTATGCCTATCACTACTCATACTATTACCAGTACTTTTCCACACAACCCCGACCCAAGGGATACGAAGGACAGTGGCCTCCACCACCCTTGCCGGGATTTGACTATGCGTCTCCAGGGTATCAACAGCAATTACAGCAGCAACAACAGCAGCAGCAACCAACAACAACAGCAACAAAAACAGCACAGAACAACAATACTACTGGTAAACGAGCATCCTTGTCTCCCAAACCACGTCCCACCATGACTGCCCGACCTACGAATATTACTACCCAACAACCACCCAACAACAACAACAACAACAACAAGACGGCATCACCTCCCAAGATGGCATCTCCATCGCGCAAGGAAACACGCAAATCTACCCATAAAAAAGACGAGGAGGAAGACGAAACGGCAGCGGCCATGGATGTCACTGTGGGATTGTTGACGCGAAAGTTTTGCAGTTTGATTCATGTACGTAGTCTTGTATGCTAGTAGTGGGGAATCGAATATATGCAACAGTGTCGATCGGAATATATGCTCACCCACAAATTATTTGACTTTCTTCTTTCACTCTCTTTCGCATGCAGGCATCCATCACGGGAACCATCGATTTGAACGAAGCCGCCATTCAGCTGGGGATACAAAAGAAACAAGTGCAGGAAATTGCCGACGCTCTAGAGGGGATTGGTCTCCTCGAAAAACGGGCCAAGAATACTGTCGTGTGGAAGGGGGCATTGGGAGCGTCCACGGCCATGGCATCATCATCTGCTGCTGCTGTCGTCAATAAACCAACCGAACAAGATGCACACCTCAAGGTCGCCATGGAACGAGTGCGGGCCAAGGTGGACCATTACTACCGCGAGGAAGCCATGCTCGATTGTTGGATCTCCACTCTGCAGTCACAAATGAAGCAAGATGAAGAGGATGCCAGCAAACATCTTGTACAAACGGGGGAGGGAGAACACGAGCACATGCCCTTGAATTTTGTCATGAGCAAGGACATTATTGAGGCAATGTATTACCCCATACAACCCATCAAACCACCCAAAGATGCCACTCTCATTGTCAAACGCCCCAATACATCCAAAGAACCACAATCTGCCATTGTAGCCGTTCATGCACCCGACGGAAGTCTGGCAGAAGTGTCGGCAGATACCAATAATCCCAACCAACCGTTTCCATTCCAGTTGTCGATATCGCAAAAGAGCGATCTCCAGAAAATGGTGGATCGAAAACGCAAAGCGGAAGCCAATGGGGAAGTCGTGGACCCAAAGCGGCAGCACAACAGTATCGAAGATGGGACGAACAACAACAACAATCCGATTGAAGTGTACTTGATGCCTGTGGAGTACAACTCTAAGCTGGACAAAATGATATCCTCTGGCGCCAAGGTCCTCCCTACGAGCCAAATGGCCCGGCAGCAGGAAGAAGAGACAGAAATGATACTTTCGGGACAGGGACCACCGGAAGAGGAAGAAACTACGTTCACGAGCCCCACACTGCTTCCTCAAGAGGGCGTTGCAGACTTTTTCCACTTTTAGAAGAGAGACGCTTGGAAAAGGGGAGACCAGGCCGCACGACGTACGAGGAACGTGACTTTGTGTTTTTAGATTTCAACCATACAATAGGAATGGGTACATAATCACGTGGGAAGAAAGGAATTGAAATTAATCCACAAGTCTACCTTTAGTTTGGTTCTACGACTGCAGTGCACAGTGCGCCAGCTAGGAGCTGTTCACTGACGGCGCTGCTCGACCGGTGCACATGTACCAAATGATGGGATGGAGACAATTCAGAGGTGGTGGTAGGAGACCGAGATGAACCAGCCAGTGGCAGCTTGATTTTGTGCTACCTCTAAAGATAGTTCCTTGACTTTGAACACAGGCAAGGAATTCAATACTAACAAATTTTGAGCTATTCCTTCATCTATCTTTCCTCTCTCGGATCTACTTTATTTTAGTTTATTCGATTGGGCCGAAACGGAAGCCGCTCGAAACACGAGGGTAACAGCTCCTACAGCCACCACGCCAATGGATATATTGCCGGCCCATCGCTTGACTTTGGACAATGTGCTTTCGTGGAGATCTCGATATGTATTCAATTCATCGTAATCCCACGCTTTGCACGCGACGAATCCTGCAACAAACGCCAGGGTGTGTGTCGTCACCACTGTTTTGCCCGTCATCCTTCTTCCAAATTAAAAATGGCGGAGCAAATAATCGTGCCAAAGAGTCTCTTTCCCGGGATTTACTTCTCTGGCAACCTCCTGTTCCTTGAAGTCGGTGGCTGTGCTCTGCAGTTCGGAAGCTACCGGTGGCTACTCGCTAGTACAGTAGAGGTGGGTGCAATGAAAGGGCCAATGCTTTCGATTGGATTCCAAAAGGCAACAGCTCGTGCTACGTCGGCTCTTCCCGGGATTTGTTCTTCTGTCGACACTATTGGGCTACTGGTATTATTAAGCCATGTGGTTGCCGCCCAAAAGGTTCGTGCTTCTCCAAAGTTTCCAAGATCTTTCGCCAGGATAGGTTCATGTGGATCTGTTTAGGTCTCTTTTACAGAGGTGTTGTCGCCAAGGTCAACCCGAAGAGGCTGGATGGGACTCATGACTTTTTTCACTCCCGTAGAGCAACAGGCTGTCCGAACCTGAGAAGAACTAAATGTAACCTGGAGTGATGTTACGCTGAAAAAGTGATTTTTAATCCTTTTTTAATGCAATTACATTCATTTGGTCTACCAAAACACGGTGGTCCAGGAAAACTCGATCCTGCTTTGAAACTCGCCTTTTGTTGACACCTCCACCAGAGATTTATGGCCGCTTCAACGCAGGCAACGTTACAAATACGGAACAAAACAACATTCCCCACAAAACTCCAGTGTGAGTAGGTACAAATCACAAAGCCTTCCGCCTATCCTCTCCTCTCTCCTCACATTTCTCTGAATTGATTGATGAATTGAAAGTCCTGTGCGCAAGGGTAAACTAATAGATAATAAGAATGTGCAGTTCCATGACAGAAGGCGGTAGCAACAGCAACACATCAACAGCCAGCAATGATCACGGCACCAGACATAGCAGCAGCCAGAAGCAGGTTCGGTTCCAAGAGGAGAAGCTGGAGGAACTGTTTGAGTTGGAGCTAGTCTCGGACCAAGACAAAAAGGCAAAGTGGATGACACGCGGAGAATTTAAAGCGATACACGCTGACATTTGCCAAGCGGTGGAAGACACCTGCTTTAGTCGACACTACAAAGAAGACGATGACGACAAATGCTTCCGGGGATTGGAGGCCATTATCTCATCCTGTCGAAGGGTACAGATCCAATCCTTCATCCAGGATCTCCTCGAGATACAGGAAGACTACAAACAGCTAGGGCTGTTGGGGCCTGCTGGATTGCAAAATTATTCCGAAAACAATAGCCGAGATGCCAAGGAGAAGGCTCGCCTGATTGCCGAGGTGGACGCTACGGAAGCTCGTCGGGTGTACGCGGAATTGTTTGCTAGCCAACAACAAGACAGGCAGTAAAGCAGTATTGGGGGATTTGCCTGTGAAGAAAGAAAAAGAAATAGATTGACCGTTCTATAGAGTTTGAATGGAATGATTGGGTGTGGTGGACTATAATGGGAATGTGATTGATTGGTTGGCGAAAGAACTGAAACGAATATATACAGTATATACTTGTGCTTGTATCTAGAGAATGAATCAATGTTGTAAAAACAAACATGTCCTTTGATGTACGGCTGGTTAGCAATTATAATTCTAGCTACTAAGTATCATCACCTTTTCTCTAGCTAGTCTCTCCACTGTTCGGTTTGGCTGTCCAAGCTTCGGGTAACTGGTGCTAGCTAGCTATTAATAGTGCGGGCGAAGTGCCGATTCGGGGTCATAAGTCGCTTGGGCTTTTTTGCTTAGAGTCTTTCTTCAAGGCAGCACCTGTCCACTGCCTGTGAATGAGTTTGCAGCACATACAGTCTGGAACCAAGCGAAGGAACCACCTGAAGTTTACCTCGTTGCGGTGTTGGGGAAGCAGAATTTAGCATCTGAAAAACCTTGGCATTGATAGCTAGTTGTTTCGCAAGGAGTATCAAACGGCTCTTCCCGAGTCTACAAATTATATGGCAAGCTTCTCAGAACAAGGCCTTGGATGCAGGTATCCAAGGCACACCTGATTCTTGCCTTCTGCGCTCTTGCAGAAGTAAAGTCCAAGGAGGCCACTTCCAGATCATCCAGAAAGCGCTTTAAAGCGCAGTGGAATGCTTTTCACAGGCACGCAGATCCTTTCTTCGACCGGTATTTCTACTACTAGTAGCTAGCTAATAGCGTGTTCAACACATTAATCATACCTTCCCACACGAAGCTGCATGATTCAATCACAAACGAAAAACAACAGCCAGCGTTGAAATCGAACTCCTCGGATCAAGCAAAGCTCCGTTGTGTTTGTCATTGCTGAGCGCTGACGAAAGTAGTTGCTGTGTGTACCGGTACCGCCTTGCTGGCTGTGCTTCTGTGCCTCTGTGCACAATCTACTGTGCGTTGGTTTGCCACCGCAATTCATGTGTATTCATCGTGCAAGTTGCTTCGGTGTTTCCCCGCTTGCTCTTCCTGCCATTTTCACTTGTGTTCCACTTACTTCTGTCAACGGCGTCTGTTCCTAGTTCTTCTCTTGACGAAGTAGTGCTCTGTCCTCCCATGAGCTGCAGACTGAGAACAATGTATCGATCAATGACCGTGAGATCCTACGGCACAGATTGCCAGAACGGAAGAAACACCATGCAAGTGTTATCAACCAGTGACTTCTCAGAAGCCCCCGCAATCAAGGCAATTGTGATATCATTCGAGAAGGCCGTTCAGTTCGCTCTAGCTAGATGAAGTTCCTGTTACCATTGCAATGACCGTGACAAAGCAAATTCTTCACAAGCACAGCAAGAACAAAGAACATGGTAGCCTCCGTGAAAGAGGCCCGTGGTCTCCGTCGATCTCTGACTTTGCCAACAGCAGGAGGAAGAGGATGGAACGACCCATGCCATGTGCAGTAAATCCTTGGGCACCGAAAAAGTCAACGTCTTTCTTGATGGTGGGGACTTCGAATTGCTTGGAAGTATGCTCCTGGCAACAGAGTCTATGCAGGGAGACGCGATGGATATCCAAGAAGGCCGACGTGATCTTGGCCAAAACAGAAAATGAGCCAACATGAGCTGATGGGGGCAACAGTGCAAGCAACAGACGACGTGTGTTCAAGGAATGTGGTTTTTTGACTTGATGGTATCCTTTCACAGGGAAGAACCCGTTGCTACGGCATGCTATCCCAATGAACTGTGAGCACAAGCAGCCAGAACAAAAGACCAACCATGTCTTTCGCTTTCGGATTTCCTCGTTGAAGCGATGACTTGGACCCAGTCACAGGTGAATCATAATGTCAGATGAGTTGACCTGGAAAATCACATTTCTAACTGCAAAAGAGCTTGCAAAGTCATTTGCGGAAGCTTCACAATGCCAGGGTGGAGAATGAAGAAGTTGGTGGATTTGCTTTTAGCAAACTTCAGGAACTTGGAGAAAGCTGTAAAGGAAGATTTGAGAATCACATTGTGGTACCGATACCGGTACCCATTGGTTTGGAATAATATTATACTTCCGGTGCCCGGACAAGGCAACATAAAGGGTGACACATTGCGGGTATGCCACCGATCCCCGGTCTGCAGGCTGGGATACCAGGAGGAAACAAGAAATCTGAAAAAAGACGGAAAACAAAAGAGAAAATCAAAGACAGCCAGAAAGCCAGAACAACTCGGGAGAAGAGACCGACCGCAGCAATGACAGTGGAAGCAGCAGTGACGACAGTGGAAGCAGAAGTGACAGTGGAAGCAGCAGCGACATCAGTGACAGTAAGAGAACTGGTAGCCTTTGGGGCACATACCGCAGTGCTAGCTACTTGAGGTGGCGAATCTCGGTTTGGTCCGTGCTATCATAGCTAGCTAGCGTACAATATGCTAGTTTCCTTGAACCCCAGCTTCCCCAACCTCGACTCGACTCACACTCCGCCAGGCAGTCACGGTGCGGCTGGTGCGCGCTCGGGAGAAACGATGACAACCTCTGTGATCAGTATCGCTGGCTTATGCCTTGGTCATTGACGTCACTTCCTTGAGCAACGCCATCATTGCATTCCACACCGTTCGAGCACTCGCGATTATCTGGTACGGTATCATTGATCATGATGGCCATCATCCTTTTCATTTCCTTTTTCGAAAACTGTTGAACTTGGATCGCTGCCCACAAGTCTGAATGCACGCTTGGAGTGCTCAGCGTATCATCCTGCTGCATAAAATAGCAACTATCCATAGTAACTTTGCCCGGCTGTTGGCTGTTTCAAAACCATGGCAGCACAAAACAAAGACGAACAAATATCCAATGATACTCGGGATCTCCCTTCGCACCAACAGCGACCCACAACTAGGACCAAGTTCCACGATGACGTAACCAAGCTTCCCAAAGAAGTACGCAACATATTGGCGGGTGGAATAGCTGGAATGGTGGCCAAGACGGTTGTAGCTCCTCTGGAAAGAATAAAGATTTTGTACCAAGTATCCGCGGAAAAGTTCACTTTGCGGAGGGTACCCGTAGTGGCAATGAATATTATACGACACGAAGGTCCCACTGCCCTGTGGAGAGGGAACACAGCCACCATGCTCCGAGTATTTCCGTATTCTGGTACGTCTGATACGGCGGGGATAAGAGCTCGTGAGCTTCGCTGATGTGTTATATCTTGTTAGTATCTTTGGGGATCTCATGTTTTTGTGTTTCTTCTAGGTATACAGTTCATGGTGTTTGATAGGTGCAAAACCTACCTGTTGAGAGAACATGAGCAACGAGATCAGGTCCTGGTCAGACGACGCAACACAGATCAAGCTATCAAACTTTTTGGATTGTCGCCCTTGGAAAGTCTCCTTTCAGGAATGATTGCTGGAGCAGTGTCGGTCTTGTGTACATATCCTTTGGACCTGACGAGGGCTCAACTGGCCTTGTACAAAACTCACCGACACGCCAAAAATATTGGGTTCATTGGAGTCATAAAACACAACTATGGAAAGGGGGTACGTGACTTGTGGAGGATGTCGTCACAATAACAACCTACTTTCATGCTGGTGCAGAAATCTTACTTTGTTTCCGATGATTTCTGTGTTCTTGGGATGATTTGATTCTTCCAGGGTGTCCGTGGGCTATTTCGAGGACTAACTCCAACAATTCTCGGCATACTGCCCTACTCTGGAATCGCATTCGCGTTGAACGAGCAAGGGAAGCGACAGGTAAGCTTCATCATGGCCAGGAAAATGACCGAAGCCGCTGGAATTCAAACGCTGGAAGGATGACGCAGACTCAATCTTCGTTGTGCTCTCGTCAAACATTGGATTGATGAATGAACAATGAAATGAATGGGTACGATTACCTCGACAGGTCCAATCCTGGCGCAAACGAGATTTGACAACAATCGAACGTATGCAATGTGGCGCATTATCTGGCCTCTTTGCTCAGACCTGTGCCTACCCTTTCGAGGTAACACGGAGACGAATGCAAACGATTGGTGTGGCACCCTTGGCGGGTAGTGAAGCGGCCACGAGCGCTCTGGGTCTCAACAGCGGTGAAGCCGGCACTGTCCGGAAACCGAGGAGCATGTTGGGGACCATGAGAGAACTCTACCGTGAACAAGGTGCTCGGGGTTTCGTTAAAGGCGTGACTATGAATTGGATGCGAGGTCCCGTTGCCTTCTCCATCAGTTTTACCATTTTTGATGTGATACAAGGTTTGCTGGAAACCGAGTCAGAGCGCGCATTGAGATTGCCATCGAAACTTCGAGAGAAGAAACAGTAATCCTCCAATCACGTACATGCATCAAGATTTTCGCTACCGTACGAGTCATCGGCTAACCACAGAACATCCCGTTAAAAAGCATTCATTAGGCTACTACCTACCGGTGCCTCCGGTACCACCACTCCCATTGGATACTAAACATAGAGCTTCTAGATTGACTTCGCGTGGAGATTTTGGAAAAAAAACATAGAGCTTCTAGATTGACTTCGCGTGGAGATTTTGGAAAATTGTTGCCGCTCGTGCAGGAGCTTTGCAAAGCGTCACGGTACCGGTATGGGTAGAGAAAAGTGACCTGCCGACCTCGAAAAAATGAAAAAAGGTTTTCAGAGCTCTGAAGCTCTTTGTCTCCGTTCTCGGCGCCTCTTCTCATCTCTTTCAGCACGAAGCTGCTCACGTTGAAGCACTCTCTCGATTTCACGTTCATCCATTTCTCCCTGCATGGTTTCCATCTTTCTCTCAAACGCATTTATCTTTCGATCCACCGCTGTGAGTTCCTCCTCACTAAGCAGCTTGCGGCCAGAAACATGATTATCTTTTGTTTCACGAGCTTCCTCCAAAAGCTTTTGGAGATGCTCCTTCCTTCGTTCTCGATTGGCAATGATTTCCTCTCTCTATTGTGTTCACGATGACAGGAAACAGGAAGCACCAACTAAACGGTCAGCGCAGCAAACCATCACCTCTTGACCAGTCTTTTCCCATTTCTTACCGTCGAGCCATAACTAGCAAGAGCAGAACCAAGAAGTGTTACCAAAACAATCAGCAGCAGTCGCATGGAGACCTTCATTTTCGCTGTCAGGTGTTGCTTGGTTGGCTTCGATATTGTCTCCTCTTGAGTGGCTCCAACAACTGCCTCTTCGGTGGCTTCGACAACTGCCGCGGTCCCTCTCGGTGCTCTGCTTCGGGATCGATGTGGTCTATTGATGGACCAGGCAGCTGGCCAGCTGATGTGCTCTATTGGACCTGTCCCGGAACACAATGGAATGGTGGTTGGTCGCTGTTTTCGATGTAATTCGTCCAGGCAAATTGCAAACGGCCAAAAAACGCAGAATTTGCGGTTTTGGAATTTGGATCCTTTCATCAGGCCATGACTGGCATGTCAAACAAGATGAAACCACCAAACCGTGAAATTAGCAGAAAGGTGTCGGTTTTGGGCAAAATGCATCTTTCAACCCTCCTCCGCCCGGCCGCTTGAAGACCGAAGACATGAACGGAAAAGAACAATTTTTTGACCACCTTTCTGGTACCAGCACTCCACGTACAGTCGTACTGTACAGTAGAGCAAAGAGACCTTGTTGACTGTCCAATGGCCCTTCCACCGTAACTCGATCGTTGCATCCACTTCGTCAACCGACCAAAAACTTTTAGACTGCATCAGTACAGCGTACAGTAGCTAGCCAGCCGGAGAAGATGATGGAAAGGATTAACACCCCTGGTTCCATGCCCGATGAAGGCGATTCGGACTCAAGTGTTGGAACGGGATATGACGACGAAGATGGTGTTCTGACCAAGGAAAAGCGCGAAGAAATTGCCAAAAAGGAGAGTGACATGGTCTTTTGGCTCCGGATGCTGGTGCTCGCAGTGATGCTGGCCTCTGCAATCACTGTGGTTGTCTTTGTCTATCTGTTCATGAGCAAGAATGAGGAAGAAGAGTTTCAAAGCAAATTTCAGAGTGCTAAAGGAGTTGTCCTTGAATCCGTGGGAAGAACCTTTGATCAGGTGTTGGGTGCGACTGATGCTTTTGTGGGAAGTTTGGTTTCCCATTCCAACGACACCTGGCCTTTTGTAGCCATGCCAGACTGGGGCTATAATGCTGCCAAGATCCTCAAACAATCCAAGTCTTTTCACTGTGGATTAAGTTTGCTTGTGGAACCAGAAGACACACAGGAATGGGTCAACTTTTCCACTTCCCACTTGGATTGGATTGAGGACGCCAAGGCCATACAGCAAACCGATGAAGACTGGACACATTCTACTGACTTTAATACCACGGTTATACCGTTCATCTGGACATTCCATGAAGATCTGGAACCAGTGCTTGAGCCTACGCCATACATGAACAACCACCTCGTGAATTGGCAGCTGTATCCTGTAGTCCAAAATGATGGTTTTCCCTTGGCTGTCAACTATGATGACTGGACTATTCCTGATGCTGCGGGCGGCCTCTTGGAGTCGTTCTACAACAAAACTGTGATCATCACCAATCAAGAGGGCATCGTTTATAACACCTCAGACCCATTGGAGGTCTTGGAAGCAGAATATACTGCCAACTATACCTCTCACTTCCTTGGTCCTGACGAAGATCCCATGGAACCATCTGGGTACATTGCCTACCCATTCTTTGATTATGCAGATTCCCTCAACTCAGTTCGGTTGGACAGGTCCATCGACCACACTCCCCGTGGATACTTTTGGTACACATACATGTGGAAAAACTACGTCCAAAACATTTTGCCGGAAGGCACCAATGGGGTGGTGGTGGTCTTTTCCAGCTCGTGTGCAGGAATTTTTACCTATCGTCTGGATGGTAACAAGGCTACCTATCTGGGCGGCGGGGACCTTCATGACCCCAAGTACGACTACATGGGCACAACCAAGACGCTCTATGATATTATGGATGGCACCAGCCAGTCTGCAGAAGGGAGCAGCTACTCGGGGCTTCCTGTGACCAAAACGTACTGTGTCATGACACTCAGCGTCTATCCCTCGCAAGATTTTGAAGATGATTACATCACCAGTGAACCCGTGATCTTCACAGCGTTGGCTGCCTGCATCTTTATCTTTACCTCTCTGATTTTCATCATCTACGATTGTACCGTGGCAAGACGGCAGCGCATTGTCATGCAAAGAGCTTTGGCCTCTGGAGCCATTGTTTCTTCCCTCTTTCCCGAAAAGGTCAAGCAACAGCTATACAACGAACAAACACAAGAACAGAAGAAACAGAATACACTCAAAGAGTTCATGACATTGCCGGAATCCACGGACAAAGCTTCAATCAACAGCAGCAAGCCCATTGCTGATCTCTTTGATAACACCACAATCTTCTTTGCGGACTTGGCGGGCTTCACTGCCTGGAGTGGCAAGCGAACACCCGTGGAAGTGTTTGAACTCTTGGAAAACTTATATGGTGCTTTTGATGCTGTTGCAAAGCGTCGCAAAGTGTTCAAAGTTGAAACAATTGGGGACTGCTACGTTGCAGTCACTGGCATCCCAGAACCCCAAAAGAATCATGCTTCAATAATGGCCCGCTTCGCATGTCAGAAATGCACCTGGTAACGCGACAGCTTGCTGAGTCCTTTGGTGAAGACACCCTTGACCTCGAAATGCGGGTGGGCTTACATTCTGGATCGACGACGGCTGGAGTCCTCAGAGGGGAAAAGGGCCGCTTCCAACTGTTTGGAGACACAGTCAATACAGCAAGTCGAATGGAAAGCAATGGTGTCAAAGGGCGGATCCATGTCAGTCAAGCTTCTGCTGATGCCCTTATTGCATCTGGAAAAGGACATTGGTTGACAACTAGGGAGGATTTGATTGAGGCGAAAGGAAAGGGAACAATGCAAACATACTGGGTGAACATCACACCAGGAACTGCCAGGTCTGGAACAACATCCGTACGCTCCGCTTGGGTTGATACTCAGTCTACCTTTGATGATGAGGAAAGAATTGATGCAACTGTTGTCACGAACATCGAAGTTTAATTTCTACCTTGTGGGGTGGTTAGCTGGTGATTGCTTGCAATGTGCTCAATTTGAACCTCCCAAATTCTGTTTAATCCACATTCTCCACTACTACCAGTACGGTTGTACATGTACCAGGTAGAGCGTGGCCACCCTTCTAGTAGATGTGATTCACCCTTGGGCCATGTTGCCTATAATGCAGTTGCCTATAATGCAATCACCTCTATTCAAGACAGTTTATCTCAGAACTGGAATACTTTATACTTTTACGGTACCGCACTGTGCACCGTGGGGCCTCTTGCGGATGCAGTCACGGTAGTCCCGGACCGGACCTATGCATACGCCTGATTTGGAAGGTCAAGCAGCTTTGCAGGCCTTTTGAAAACCAGTCTCACACCAACGAAGCCAAAAGCCAATGCCACAAAAAATTGAAGTGGACATCCTCTGATTGCCTCTGATCAGAGTCGAGTCGAGTCTTTCTGTTGAAGCCGAGTATTAGTTTCCTTGAAAATGAAGGGTCTACGCTCGTTTCAGCTGTTGTTGATCGCATTGCTGGCAATTGTTGGCTCTGTCGTTGCGAAAGAGTTTAGCCACTCCACTGGCTTTGGTACAACGGTGAGTGTTGTTACGTAGTCTGAAATGGTGCCAAAATTCCGAAATCTGACATCTGTTTCGATCTTTCTGTGTGTTGCTACTACTTGTCATTGCAGAAAGAAGAAATCATCGCCAACAGAGAAAGGAGAAAGGAGCAACTTAAAAAACTGTTAGATGAAGTGCGTGAGACCAAAGACAACCATGACTCTGGCAGAAAACTTCTCAGTGATGAGGAGCTGACAGTAGTGGATCGGAAGATTAGTGCTTATGAGAGAAAGCTAGAGACTATGCAGGGAGAAATGGATGAGAGAGAAGTTGAAAAAGTCATGCAACGAGAAAAGCTTCGCTATGAAAGAGATGAACAGAGGCGACAGGAACGTAGACAGAGAGGTTCTGAATTCTGAGAATCCCAAGTAAACTGCTTCTATCATTTTTTAATACCGAAGTTATTGAAAGACATACCCTATGCTTGCACTGTGAACGACGAGATTTCAGAGACACAGCACCCAGACAGAGAAACAAAAATCTTTGTTTATGGTTCAGCACTCCATAGTCGATTGGATAGCTAAGACATTTCCCTGCCGTCTTTGGTGCATTCTAGTGTAATGTAATTGTTTCTTCTCCATTGTCTATCACTGGATCCGGTCTCTCGAGGCTTTCGTCCATCACCCGATTCAACGTGCTTATTACTAACCCTTTACCGATCGCCACTTCGTGATTTTCAGGCGACCAGGATTGAAAACAGAGACGGACGAAATGGACTTTCGAATAGCTGTGCTGGCTGAAGCAAATGGTAAGAACAATGACTGCATGACACTGAACCTGCATGGGACCGCAACAGAGATGGTGGAACCAAGCCGCAATTGATGCAGTCCTCGCACACAAAGCCACCCCTCAATTCCGAAGCTGACAACAGATAGCAATGAAGGTCTTCCGTTCTATGAGACTGTTTTTGATTGTGCTGGTGGCACTTCTTGGTTCTGCCGTTGCCGCCTACAGTCAAACAGCAAGTATCGTTTTTAAAAAAAAGCTAATTCCATTTTCCTTAGTTCGTCCTTTTCTAACCACACTTTGTTTCCCAACCCGTTGTTCTTCTTTGACACCCCGCCACAGAAAGAGGATATCATAGCCAAGAAAGAGAAGAAGAAAGAAATTTTTGAAAAGCTGCTGAAGTATGCTCGTGAGGAAAGAGAAGACCACGTGTCTGGAAGATGGCTGTTGGACGCGAAGGAATTTACCGCGTTGGAGGGAAAGATCAAAGCTTACGAGAGAAAATTAAATTCATTGGATCGGAAGGATGCCAAGGAGTATCTTGCCGAAAGGCAAAAGATAGCAAGGAAGCGGCAGGCGGCAGAGTTTCTTGGAGCTACACTTTGAGAAGAGCCGAGAAGACAAGTTCATACAGTATATTTACTTGCTACTGTCACTAGCTAGCTAGTGCGGGTAGTACATGGCACATGGTGGATGATTGGAACCACATTTTTTCACCATTAGATCACCTTATTTGCTACATTGCAGCCTCCTGCATTTGGAAGCCTATTTTCCTTCTCCTCGCGTCTTTAGCTCCCTCTTGATGCCAGCACCCTTGGGGAGTTAGATAGGTACCAGTAGTACCGGCATTGCAGGTACGGGTCCAAATTCTACCGGTGCATTGGTCTCGATGGATTGCCACCGAGAGCTACCGTACAGTACCGTGGCTGGCTGGCAAAATGCTTGGCCGTTTCGAATGGTTAACGCCACTGGCTAGCTAAGTGCTAAGTGGTCAACGCCACTGGCTAGCTAAGGATATTCTGTTTTACTGCCACGGAACCCTTTTTCCTTCTCAAATTGTTCTTTCTTGTTGATTGCTGCTACCGTCTCTTCCAACATGCTCTCCAGCAGCGCAATTCTTGCGTTCTGACGTTCCAGTAACTCAAGGAGATGGTCGTCCGCCCTTGTCAGAGCTTCAATTTCCACTTCTGTCCCAGATTTTCGTTTGATGGAGAACACGTAGTCTCCCATGCCATCAACGAGGTCCGTGAATGTTTCAAAGGTGAATGGTGTAGCCGATGGATCCATGATCAACGAATCGATAGCATCATTGGCCAGCCGAAGCGCAGCTCCATCCACCTTGACAAAGGCGTAGTTTTCTACGCACTGTTCGACGTAATCGTCCCTATAGAGAGCTTCCAAGAATGCCTTGAGCAAGGCCTGGTCCTGTGGATTGTCAAGGAAGCTGGTAAGGTCCTGGCGAACGTAAATGTACGTGAGAGCCGCCATTGGCCAGGTGAATTCACCAGGCTGGTTTAGCAAGGAGACGCTGCTAAAGTCATCTGCGGCTGAGCTGGGGAGGAGGCCAATGGTGTCAGCAGCCCCCGCAATCCCGCCACGAGCTTGAGACTGGATCGACGTGAGACGAGTCCCAAAGCTGTTTTCTACCGCAACTTCCACCAATCCAGCGCTTCGACCCTGGCCAACGGCCAAATATCCAATGGTTCCTGGTTCTTCCTCGATACAATCGACCATACCACCAGACCCCTGGCATTCCAGGGATGAGTCATGCCATGCCACCATGGAGCCCACATTGTTCACAGACCAGACATCCGGACAAGCTGCAGCGAGATACTATGAGGTGAAAATTCGCAAATTCAAATCAAGTTCATAAAGGCGATAAGTTGAGAAAGGTGATGTGGTTACAATTTTTGTCATGAGTGCTTACATTTGTGACAAGAGATGTCGAACCGCTGCCATCCACCCTGCGGGCCACTCGAACGGGCACATCGCCCGACACGTCAAGGTTTGGGTTCAATTCTTTAATGTCGTTGTCCACCCATGATGTGATTTCTCCAGTAAAGATCCTGGCCAAAGCACAGGCTGTTAGATTGAGTGCTGGAGTGTTTGGAAGAGAGTGATAAAAGGATACCGCCCCCACGAACACTGGCAATTGCAACACCGTTTCGGCTGCCGACAAATCCTGATACCTATCCATCCTGAGGGGGATGTCACCGGAACCAAAATGGGAAACGATGGGATCCGACTCGGAGAATTCAGCTTGACCTGAAGAGGACCCAATGGCACGGTACGTCATCTGCACAGGGATCTTGGCGCGTGTCTCCATTTTCTCCATGACAGACCAGTAGCATTGAGCAGGGTTGGTTGTTCCGCTGCCATGGATGGACAAGGTGGTTTGCGCCTTGACGGTCGCTGCCAGAAGCAGAAACAAGAGCCCAGGCATGCCATGGCTCTGGCGTGAAGGAGGAATCATCATCATCTTGACAATTGGCAGAATCAGCGGAAGATCTTCTTTGATTGTCAAAACTACAAAATCGTTTCAACAGAAGATTATACGATTATCCGTGCTAGTTGAATTATGGATTTATGGCTGGGAAAAGAGCGTGACTTTTCTGACGTGCTTTGTGGATCCTTTGAGCTCTTGGAGACTTCCGTTTGCCCCAATTTTTGTCGAACCACGAATGATCCCAGACTGAGCTTCTCTGAGACGATTTAAACAGCTCACACTGGCTCACAAATGAACAACGCTGGCTTATTTTGGAAGATTCTGACTTCAAACGTTCGTTCTTCGAATCTTCTGTTGTCGCCTGGGGCCAATTGATCCGTTTCGTGCGATGGGGCTGCTCCATTGTGCTTGTTAAAGCCGTCGCTGAAGGTAATCCGGAACAGCAGCCGCTGCCTCATTATTATCCTCATTATTTCCTCCTCATAGAACAAGAAAAGAAGAAAGTTTAGGAAAATGGAAGGAACTGACCGCAACGGTGGCAGACAAGTTCGCGTGATCGATGACGAAGATGGGTTTGTGGTTGTGGATTTAGACCGTGAGGGCAACACCGAAACTGCTGCTGTTGCCGCTCCTCTTCCTCCCCCCAATCGAAGAGCGTCTCCCGGAGTCCGTGTGGTCAGCCCCAACAGACAAGAGGAAGAAGAAGAGGAAGTACCCCGCGCTCATGCTGAAGAATCTTTTCCCTCTCCTCGCCGTCGCACCACACCCACGTCTCGACGCCGCCAGAGCCATCGAGTGACTTACGAAGACCTTGTGGGGCGCCCTCGCTCCAATCCGAGGGCGAGGACTCCCATGCGATATGAAAGCCCGCTGGAACATGGAGCCTTTCGAAATGCCTCGCGGGAAGAAGAGGAACCACAGGATGCGTTCCAACCAAGGACTATTTCGATCCGCCCGAACGCTGGGTTGGGAGTGGGTGTGCTGCGAGCACAGCCGGAACGAGTGAGAATACTGTTTCATTTATTATTACCTTGCTTTGGTTAGGTCTCATTTATGTTGACGTTTCTCACAATTTCATTTTGCGATGTTCCAAAGGTAAACTTTGACGACACCAACCAACGTCCCAAGCCCATCACCTTGAAATCCCAAAAACAAGGACCCTCCAAAAGAAAAACACGTCGCTGGAATAATGACAACTTCCATAATACCTTTCATGATCTGGCCAACTCGGGCTCTGCCAAAGCGAGGGCTGCCGCAGAGGTCTTAGCCAGAGCCAAGGCCGATGCCAAGCACTTTTTGCCCGTCTATGATCCAGCCGACACCCAAAGGTCTGCTGAAGTAACTCGATTCATGGAAGACAAGAGTTACTCGGATGTCCGAGATCGCTTCTTTCGGGGAGAGCTTCATGCCAAGACACAAGAACCCCGCATCGCAAAGCGTACAGACCCCGCGGATGCATCTGCTGCAGAACTCTTTCAGCGCATTGAAGGCCGGTTGCGCCGTGTCGTTGTCAAGGCCTGTGAGAACTCTGGTCCAGCTTGCAAAGTTGTGGAATCCTTTGAAAACTACCTGATCAGGAGCTTGGGCGAAGAAGAACCCAATGTTGGCAACGACGAGGGCGACTTTTGGGAAGGAATCCTTGTGGAAAGACCAAACTACAATCCACAGCAAGGAACGGTTACTTTTCGATTCGACGGAGACTCGTCGTCTGGTGGATTTCACCGTCTGCTTGTTCATGCCGTGTGTCAGTTCCATTGCCTCAAGGCCAAGACATCTACTGCCAGCAAAGCTCGTGTGCTCTCTGTTTCTGGTGTTATGAGGGGCAGCCAGTATCGTCTTTTGGATTATCTTATGTCTGTGCAGCAGGAACGGCAGTGATTGTTTGCTGTGGTTTGGATGTGCGTGCAAAATTTGAGTGGATTTATGAATCAGTCAGGCTACCTTTTAACTAGCAGTGGCACCCTTATTTTATTGATCACAGCTGATCAGCTGATGCTTTCCACGCAGCTGCGCAATTCAAGCTACGTGCTCGATCAGTGCTTCATCCGACTTGTAATCTCCCACATGACGCTCCATGACCCGTTCCTGCTTTACACCCATAGATAGTACCAAACATAAGTGGTGTAGGTTGTCGGTTGCGGGTGCATGTAAGCCCCCTTGTCCTTGGTTCCGTGTTCTGTTTCTCCGCACCGACAAGTCAGTCGAAGGCCCGTGGAAGGAATCAAGACAAGGTCTTGATCATGAAACCGATAGGCGGAGAAGCTCGAATTGGATCGATCAAAGTGGGTGAGCCCAGAAATGTCCGATTGGTAGGAACCGGAGTCAAAGTAGTATGTTCCAAGGAAATAGTCTTCCAATCCCGACGACAACATCATAAAGGGGGTGTCACTGTCATCTTCTCTGCTCGGTTTCGCATGGTACGCCCTCATACATGCCTCCAGAAACGCAAGTGTTGTCGATTGTGCCACAATGGTTACCTGAAACAAGGCACCTATTGATGTTTCTCCAGAGCCGCCAATGTCATCGGGTGGAACTATGTTGCACAAATTGAATTCTTCGAGAGGTTTTGCCGTGTAGTTTTCCAATTTTGCAAGGTGGAGTCGGAGACGCGGCGAGCTGGGTAGCATCCTTCCATCAAACGACACCCATCCTCCTGTAAGGCCCCGAATAATCCACCACGATGGAGGTACTGTTTTGTCATCTTTCTCATCCTGTGAAATTGGCTCTATGGATTTGTCGACCTCATCTGAAGTTTTGGACACTCGTTCTGCTGTCACGCGAATGCTGAAAGAAAAGGGTATTCGGTAGTTGTTGTGAATTCCATTCTTTCTTCCCACTTTGCCAATGTGCTTGGTGATCCATGGCACATGAGAGTTGTCACCAAATCCAATTCCATGACCCAAGTAGAGTTCCATATCTATGGATGGGTTTTCCTCTCCATCGACATAGTATCTGATCCGAGTGTTTTCTACACCAGGAAAGTTCCCACCAAACCAGAAGTGAGTCAAACAGCCTGGATCTCCAAGGTGATCGATCAGGACAGCCTCCATACCCAACCGTAGAATACGTTCTCCCTTGCCCATGGTACCAAAGCTCGTGACGTTGCTGATTCCAGCTCCAGACAGGGTGATGCCATTATTGCCAGCTTGAGGCACAGTACATGTAGTTGAGCCGTTAAGACCTCCATGGTTGGAACTGGGCCCACCATCGAGCTTGGCTTCTTCAACTGAGACTTGTACCCAGTCGTCATCATCGAAATCGAGTAGAGGGGCGGGCATATTGGACGGAATGAAGAGTTTATCAGCTATCGGAACAAGAAGCATGCAACCGAGTGATCCATGATCCATCACGGGCGTCACGGGTGAAAAAGATACCGTTTGCTAGCACCAATAAAAATGCATACATCACTGGTCTTTTAAAAGCATCCACATGAGCTAGTCTAGGTTAGATTTTTATAGCGGCTAACCGGCAACAACCGGGCGTCCTTACATTCCAGCCTTGCTCGGAGGCCGTATCGGAGCACTATCCGAGCTCATAATAGAGTTTGTAGAGTTTGTAGCTCTAAAGGGTAAATAGAGGTCAGGAAGTAGCAAGTAGCAAATACTACATGTATTACACAGTAGCAAGTGATTGCAACTGTGCCATGGTTATTGGCTGGAGGAACGTTTCATTCCTTGCAAGAGACGATGCAAGTCTGTTTGGAGAAAGCACACAGAAATTAAGGCCTGGCTTGATTTGTGGAGCTGGGGCTTGGACTTGCTTTGTTGTACATGTACCGGTAGCATGGTGCCAGCACTGCATCATTCCTACCGTATGCTGGACTTGGAAAAAGATAGCTGGACTAGCTAGCTGCTGGCTCCGTACCAGTAACCAATACTACTGAAAACCGAGTACATGTACCGGTACCACCAGGTACTTACCGTACCGGTAGTCTAGCTAGCTGCTGGCTCCGTAGCTATGTAACCAATACTACTGAAAACTACGGAGTCTTCCTCGACTCCCAGCCACCGCCTCAGCCGTCCGCACTCCGGATGACATGGGCAGTTCACTAGGACTATTTAGGGATGACTAAATACACCTGTGTGTGCAGTGTCGAAACGATAGTGCTAGAGTTTGGGAAACGGTGCTATCTAGTGCACCAATCCAAAACCGTTGGGATCCAAAACCGTTGGAAGGTGCAATCTGGTGCACCTAGCCAAAACCGTTGGAAACCGACATTGAACTGAGTAGCCCCTTAAAAAAGAAAAGGACGCCATTGTCCTCTTCGATTGGTGGCTGCTAGCAATGTGGCTTGGATTGGCTCCTGCTGCGACTGTTCTCCTGATAACCCTAACCCTATCTACGGTGACGTACCAGTCCAGGCAGGAGCAAGTGTGCTTCCACATTGCTCTGCTT